CCCCAAAACCCCAAAACCCCAAAACCCCAAAACCCCATATTTATTGTAGATGATTGGATTTATAATATTTAGTAATGGAGGCTAATAATTCGGACCTTGTATCTATGTCTATTAGGGAGCTTATACAGAAAGTTAACCAGAATTCTGCAAGTAAGTGTTATGGATGGGTGGAAATAGGGGGAGAGAGATCTTGGGGTTTGGGAATTTTGGATTTTGTCATGTTTTATTTGGAATCTGAGGTTTTTGGGATTAAATCATGATTCAAAATGTTTGAAAATATAAAAATCATTGCTTTTATAGATACGACTGAAGGGCCAGCAGAAGCTGTTACAGAGGAACAAAAAGATGAAGAGCAAATTCTAAAGGAAATCATAGCAAGGAAGCCAGTCTTCACTGACTATATCGAGAGACTTGTAGATTCATATGATAAAGGTAATGACCAAGAGAAATCCAAGGAGCTGATCCTCAACTGCATTGAGGCCAATGACTGCAATCTTGGACTCTGGATGGTCTACCTCAACTGGACTCTTAGTAATGAATACATTGCTAATAGTGATGAGGAGAAAACAAGAGAAGTCTTTGAAGAAGCTAGGTCTAAAATCGGCAAGCATCCTCAAGCTTGGAAGTTTTGGAAATAAATATGCCGAGTTTGAAACAATGTGTCATAATAAGAACTCAACAAATCTAATTTACTACTGCGCACTCCTAGCTAAGGTTGAGAGCATTGACCAGCTTAAGGAAGAATATTTAAAGTTCCTCGATGCCAACTTCGATTCATTAAAAGATTCAATTACCAGTGAAAACCCACCTGAATTTAAAGAGGAGAAGCCAACTCTATTGAACTATTTCCTTGAGGCTTCTAATGACAAGGAGAATTTCATTAAAATAATGACAGATCTGTTGGATAAGGCTAAGGAAGGAAATGCTACTAGATCTGCATACGAACAGGCATTCACTTGCACCAGTTATTCAGTAGAAAACATATCAGATGACAGTCTCAAGAAAGAGAAAGAAACCTGGAAAAGCTATATTGAGAAAGAAAAAGCAGAAAGGAATTACCAAGGGGTCCAGATGTTGTACAAAAGGATGCTTGTTCCCTTCTATGATGATTTTTCAGTCTGGAAGGATTATATTGACTACCTCTCCAACACTATGGGTCAAGTTGAGAAGTGCAGAACTATGTACAAGAAGCTAAGATCTAGCCCCATTGTTGAAGACAAGGATGTTATTCTTGAAATTTATCTCTCAAATGCTCGTTTTGAAGAAGATCAGGGACAAATCAAGCTCGCAAGGAAAATTCATAAAACAATTTGCAACTCCTTATGCCCTAATCTGATCAAAGGAATTACTGAGTACATCAGGTTTGAGCAAAGAGTTCAGGGCCCTAAGAAGAATATACTGGAGTTTTTAGAAGACTCTTTGGAAAGAGCGATCAAGAAGGAGGATGAATTCGCCACTATTTTCCTAACTGTAAACACTTGTCGTTTTCATTTCTCCAATGATCAAGATTTGGATTTGGTTTTTGACATATTTTCAGATTCAGTCAAGTCTTTTAGACATTCTAAACGACTTTATCTAAACCTTATTAAACTTTTAGAATCCATAAATTCCACAGAAAACAAACTATATAGCAGAAGTTTTGAAATTATTGAGAAAGCAACTCTTGACGCTAAGTCAGAGTTTGACGAACTAACTAAGAAGGAAATTGCTGTTGCCTATCATTCCTGGTTAAGAAGAAATTGCCAGCAGAGCACATATATAGAACTGGTTGAGGATAGATTCTATAAAGCCAAACTTATTAAAAGCGAGGAAGGGCAGGTTACTCAATTCCCCCCTCAAGAAGTTCCTTCAGGAGTGAATTCAGGACAAGCTGCTCCGATTGCTTTAGCTCCAGCTCCTCCTCCACCACCTGCACCTCTTCCAGCTCCTGCTCCTCCAATTGATGCCTCCCACGCTGGTGATAAGAGAACTGCAGAGAATCATACTTCACAAGAGAGTGATTATAAGAGACAGAAGCTTGAAGAATAAGTATTGGGTTCAATAATTACACAATTTTGAGGGGTTTTGGGGTTTTGGGGTTTTGGGGTTTTGGGG